CCAGGGCCACCTGCATCCCCTGTCTGGTGTTACTGTCATCGATTATTTGGTCGTTAGTCTATGGCTCGACACCGGAGAATTGGCTGTGTGCATACGCGACGTGGGCTGCTTTGTTTGCCTTGCCTGAATCCTGCATACCTAAACCAGACCCTTCTCTAGCTATAAAAACAATGCGAGACGTCATCAGTAGATGTAATGTTCGTGAATCTCGAGATATACTCTCTAAAGATATTAGAGTGGTAATGCGCCTTGTACGGCATTGTATGGCGTCAAAACTGTGGTAGAGGTCCGGGTGTCGTTGCTGCATGCTGTGCGTTCGGGACGGCGTAAAGGTGTCAACCAACGCGTGCTTGCAGTAGTTTGACGCTTGGAATTCAGATATTGTATCTTGAGGTGGCACCATAATCAGCGTGATGGGCCAATATCATCAGGACGCCAGCATACGCCGATGCCGTGTTCTAGGTACTGTTTCGCAATCAGCGATAGATGATCCAAAGTTTGATTGTCTACTGCAAAGTGAACAATGTTTGTTGCATAGCAAGAAGAGCATTTAGTCCCTTGACGGGCGGTGGAAAGTGGTGTATAAGGTTTAGCGGTTTGAGGAACGCAAGCATACGTCGACATCGGGCTGCTTGGGCACCTGTAGAACGACGAGGATTGAGACATCGCGGCAGATCGATAGGCGAGCATGAACAGAGGGCTTGTGGGCCGAGTTTTGGTGATGTATGGACGTACAGTATGATGCCAGCGCAATGAGGAGAGCCGAGCACCCTTGGCCGGCGATCATGGCGGCCGCCACGGCGTCCCCACCCAACCTCTCGAGAGAGTCGTTTTATTCGTTGGTTTTTGCACGATAGCATGAACCACACCCTCGTACATGTCGAACGCGATATCTGATCCCCACACCCTCCGACATTACGCATTCATGTTAGCAGATCCCTGTGACGAGTCGGTCGGCGATGGGTGAGCTGTCTTTGCTATGCTCAGAGCGACGCCACCCCTCAGCTGGCGAGATCGCCAAAAAAAAAAAAGCCCGGAGACGCCCAATGCCGTGCCACTTACCCTGCAATCTTGTCAAATCCCTAGAGTAGCTATTTCCCCGCATGCGCTTTGCCGTACTGAGGCTTGTGAGCTTTAGGCTGGGATGTATCTCAGCTCTAAGCGTTGGCAAGTTGCGGCTGAGCACTGAATGCAAATTCTTAGGTCTCGAACACAACTCATCACCATGATGGTACGATCTGGATCGTAGAACGAATCCCCGACAGCTACATATTTGGCGCTATGGAAGTAGCCCGCGCAAGCCACTGAATGCCGATCCCTCATCTGGGAAAGATCGTCTCACCAATTCGTTCTACCGGATCCGCCAGACGTAGCCTCACCAACCAAAAGACGCCATCATGGACCGAACTGCGTCGCGTCTTAGCTGTCGAGATAGGTGAAGGCGCAACAAGGGTCTGTCGACGTACATACAATAGTTGCTTTGTCCCACGTCCCACCGCGACAGACTTCTGCTTAGTTTTGATTTCAACACGGCAGACCAGGAATCCCTGCCCGTGCTCCATGAGCTTCTCATTCTGTGGTACTCATGCACACTCTTATTTAGGTCAGCATGGCTTCGGAAGACAACCCGTCTTGTCAGACTAGCTCTGGGGAGGAGCCTCATCAACAACTGATTCCCACGCGCATTTCGTTCACTTCTTGCAACCTTCGTATGGATGACCCTAGGACCTTGAATCAAGTAGTCTCCGCGGCACCGACAAGCGGATCTACACTACCTCACCACACCAGCCTACCTACAACTCGACGTCATACCTTAACAATTGGCGATCGCGTTGCCTCTACATTACTGGAGACCAATAACCACACGAGACTTCTTAAGACCATCGAAACGCGACCAAGGTCGGCCACTTGCCTTGCGACAACATCCAAGCCGATGCATCCTACCAAAGTACAACGATGGGTCGGCTTGACCCGTACTGTGAGCGACTGGGATCATGGACTACGCAGAGTATGTTTGAGCACTTCGTCATTAAAGCTAGGCTAACAGCAAGAAAGGACCCTGAGTTGTGGTATGAAGGAGGAGATTGTTTCGTCCACCTACACGCAAAAGGGGCCTCGCGTCGTGGGCCATCCTTTTGCGTTCCCTTCAGACTGTTACGGCAGAAGAAGTGTGACGCCATGTTGAATTTATGCGACGCCCAAATCGCACCTGCGCCAGGATCTGCCTCCCAGCAGTTGAGGCGAATGCCCAGCTCCCTCAATAACACCAATCGGGAATCAAACGTCGTCGAGCTTTTCATCCCTGCTTCAGAAGATTCATCCCAGGAACCTTTCAGGCAGCACATTACAACTCGCAACTTCTTTGCGTTCCTGCTAGGTAAACCACTGGTCGGCGATCATATGGGCCAAGCATTTGTAGACCTCCAAGAACGGTTGCAGCACTTTCGACCAAGCCATGCGAACAACCATCAAGACTTTCTCGACTACGCAGAAAACCAAGGGTACCGAGATCTGGTAGAGTGCACAGACTATGCCCTTGCAAGTCTCTTCTATGCAGAACACTATAAGCTTAGAGATGCCTGGGTTGATGCTTTCGCCCACTGTGTTGGTATGAGTGAAAGCCTTGTCCTCAGCCCGGAATATGTGGTATGTATTCTATCATCTGATCAAGGATAACTTACTAACACATTCTTATAGCTGACTTCGAAGCTCACGAAAGCACTGATTACCCGAGCTCATCTCGAAGTCGACGGGCACCTCGGCCGCGTATCCATCGCACTGAGCAGGTTCCTGCAAGAGGACCTCTCGCCAACTTATCTTGGGCTGACAGATGGCGCCAGAAGCCACCTTGATCGCTTTCGCCGTTTCTTGCATACCTTTTACGTCGGGAAGTTTGGATATTGGCCACCACCACGGGGCGCTACCTTTCCTAAAGCGCTTTACAAGTCAATGTATTACGATTTTCAGAATCTCTACGACTACCTCGTAGACACCGAGTCGACCGCCGATTTTTCATCTCAAAGACCTGCTAGCGGCGGCATCTGCGTCTTACAGAATGTTATGACCTTCGACCAACGACATGGATTCAAGTCCCAGCCCCATCCTTTACCTCTCCTACCAGTATATGCGTCGTCGCCGAAGAGAACGAACTCTCAGAAAACGAATTCGCAGAAAGCTTTGAGGCAGCTCATCCTGGCATCGCAACACAACAAGTCACATCTACAAGATACCATGCATGGTGCTTTGGCAGCGGCCACCAATACCTTGGATTCGAGCGCGATGGAATCGAGCATTGTACAGGCCTATATCCACTTCGAGAAGGCACACGCTATCAATGCTAGTCAACGTGAGGGGAAGATATCATCGACAGATGCGCGTAAAGTAAGATGGCTTGTAATCTACGGGACACTGCAATATCTGGTGTCCGCTCTTCGCGCACCGAAAGAGGTTCGTGATTCGGAAAGCCCAGAATACGCTCTGTGTTATGTCGCGGAGCCCATCGCTTCGACTACCAACAGCGGTGCTACGACCCCTTTGGCCACACCTTCGGTCAACGTACCGTTGGCCATCGACGACTATCTTGCGGAATCTCAAAGCAGCCCTTACTCGATAGAGCCCGACTGTCAAAGAGAGGATTACTTCACGCCGCGAAATCTAAGTCGGCGTGGATCCATGGAAGTCGCACCGCTTAAGATATCTCAACCCCTTCGCTCGTCTTCCGTTCGCTCGTTCGCACGGCGATCATTATCAGCTCGAGGTTCGCGAAGGAATAGTCTCTCGATACCCATACGAAGATCTGTTGGCATGAATCAGGAATTTGGCGATCGATCGAAAGACACAGCGTCAGTTTCGCAAGCTAGTTCTCGTCAGGTGTCGTCCACTTACTCGGAATCTGTTTACTCAGAGCACTCGACGACACCCACAGCCGACAGTGGTGCTAATCCCGAAACCTCATGGCTCAGATCGCCGTCGCCTTCTGCTTCCCGTAGCAGGCAGACCTCTACAGGTAGCACGGCCACACGCCCCCGTACGCCCCTACTTGATTCCGTACAGCTTGAGCGTGCTACGTTTCCAACTTTGTCAAAAGCTACTGGGGAGCCACCCAGCCGATCAGATAGTACAAGCTCTACAGCAAGCTCACTGTGGAGTGAAGGTGCCGCAAGTGCCGCCTCGTCTAAGTCGAGTACATCGGGAGAAGTCTCCGTTCATAAGGTTAGCCCCGCAGAAGAGAGTGGGCTTCTAGGCGGGCTTGTGTCTTTTGAGACACCCATAGCCACGGCACCAACCCTGCCACAAAGCGAAATACACCCCCTACTACGACAACAATCTCCACAAACCGACTTTGAGTTTGGCTTCGGAAAAGCAGAGCCAGAAGTCACTTACGATGTCCATGAACATTCTAATGGCAATATGATGATTGGCATGGCTGTTTCTACTCCATCAGTGCCGGCCAGAAGATCTAGCTTGAAGCTCTTCCCAGATACACAGCATGCTGTCGCCACTGAACAGGCACGTTCTCTCATTGCTGAGAGGAGGCCTTCTCTTCCTCGAAGCATTTCCACTCCATCAACCCTAGACACTTCGTCTAAGCAAGGCTCAGCGACTCCATCGTCTACAACCACGACTCCAAGTGGCTACTGGGAACAGTACAAAGCCACTCTCACACAACAAAGAGCGCGATCAAAGACCGTGTCCTCCAGCGGATCTACTCCATCTTCTATTGTCAAGATGCCTACAGTGCTCAAGGCATCCTTTGCGCGCATTGGTCCTCGTAACGACGAAGATCGCGGCGTTAAGAGAGAGCGCAGGCTTTCTACTCTATGGCGACACTGATCGTCGGATAATAGCCACTCTGTACTGTTTTCTGGTTTTTCTTTTATCTTTCTGCTACAGCGATTCTCATGCATGGTGTTCCGGCGTATAAAACAAGCATGTTATATACCCTTTCAAGCGTTCAGGTATTCACCCCTCATTTTAGGAGTATAGTAGTTATGTCACGACTAAACGATACAATCTTCCTCAACATCTTCCACATGATCTTTCGCATATACACGTTTTCGCCATGCCGACTTCCTCACTAGGTTCCTAGCCCCGCTCTCCAATCGTGCAACAGTCTTTCCGCAGCAGCTAGCGCTGTCGCAGAAACATATTCGAATTAACCACTCTACACCATTAGCCTGGACAACGACGTCCCCTATGTCGACACTGTCGAGCTCGAAGCTGCTCAAAGTAATACTGGAGTCAATAGGGCTAGCGCAGATAGATCCTTCAATCTCGTAGAGAAAGTCTTCCGTGAGGCTGTTGAAAGAAGTCGATGACTCCTGCGAGGAAGGAGCGTTATCATCGTATACGAAATTACGATCACCAGTGATTGCTTCGGTGCTACTCTTCGAAGCTCGCTGTATCGCAGCCTTATCGGGCGATGCACTTGCACTTGTACTGGCGTTCATGTCTCCTGGTGAGCTCTCTTCCAGTTGCGCAATAGCGGTGCAAATTGTGTGGTAGCGATTAGAAACGGCTGTACTAGACTGCGTCCCTGCAAAGTGCGAATTTGTACTTGGGACACACCTGACATCTTCACAGCTGCACAAAGTCCCATCCCTACCAACAATCACGTTGATAGAAGTGCTGTGCAAGACACTCCATTCTAGAACGGCGGTAACGGGTGCCAACAAAGCAATGGAACATTCCACGCGTATGTTTCCACATGCTCGGTGGCTTTCCCATGGGCATTGACACCGAAGATTCGAGTCTTGCAGAGGACCCAGTGACATCATGCCGATTTTCCACTAGGGCCCCGCAAGCTTGTCGCACTATCGAAAGCCTCAACAAACATGCGCTCCACAGACACCACCTAATGCGAAACACATGAGGTGTTTCTTTCGCGGACATGCATATCGTCGCTAGGCGCAACGCGTTTGCTACTATTTTTGGCCGGGCCTATCCGCTCGCGCCTTGCAAGATCCGATCCATCCTGTTTGCGAGTGCGAATGCACACAGCTGACCTGCCCGTTGGTTGGGACGCACGTTCACGTTATCGACTGCTACGCTACATCACAGTCTGTGGCGTTGGCGGATGTGGCGTGCGGCACCCTGCATGTCACGATTTGAGGCTGCGTAGCCTTGCAGTTACCAAAAATGGCACCGCTCGCAGGCGTTCATGGAACCACTTGTGCCAAGCAGTGTCGACGTCAACGTGGTGGCTGTTCACAGGAGCGGTTGAATGCTCTTGTCGTATTCGGACTATGCCACCATAGTTGTTGCAACCAAAGCGGATGAATCACTGAAATGCAGAACAATGCATCAAGCTGCGATAACATCACAAAATGCGCAACCACAACATACGAGGTGCGTACCTTGTTGTTCGACGATCACTGCCACTTAGATCCCAGAAAAATGCTAGCGGTCAAGGGTCTAACTGCTAGACTCGGAGATTTGTACCCACGTCGGCCCACGTCCGTCCGGGGAGGCGACATCATTGCCTGCGTGCGACCCAGCCGACTGTGGAATACGAGGTATGACCGAATACATGAGCTTGGATGGACGTTGGTCGAGTGCTAGGGCCAAGTGACGTTGAAATGGTTATGAAGATCTTCACAGAGATATAAGTACGGCCTCATCCTGTCCTACTTCAACTACACACACTTCAAACAAACTCAAACAAACTCATTCCAACCAAAAGCACCAACAAACTCCAAACCCGACATCATGCAGTTCTTCACTCTCGCCGCCCTCTTCGGTGCCGCCGCCATGGCAGCACCCGCTCCTCAGACCCCCGAGTGCCCCAACCCAGCTCACTGCGGTGGTGGCCCACCAGACCCAAACACTTACGAGAACATCGACTTCACCGACTACACCCTCCGCAAGAACAACGGCACTATCCAGTCCGTTTCGTTCAAGCTCACCGGCAAGAACGCCACCGACCTCGAGTGCTCTGGTGGTCCTTACCCTGTCCTTCCTTCTGAGGTTGAGACTTGCGGTGACTCCAAGTACCGCTTTGGCATGTACCAGCCTGAGAACAGCACCGACACCTTCGCTATCCGCGTCTACCACGAGCTTGGCACTGCGTACGTATCCCGAGCATCTACTTTCATAAACAACAAGCTAACCAATTTCAATAGTTTCGGCTTCTGGGGCGAGGGCGAAGTTCCCACCTACTGCCACGCTGGTGGTAACGGCATCAACGACTTTGTCTGCCAGCAGACCAACGCTTACACTATGGTCATTACTGCCTCTGGTTAAATATCCTCTACACTTGAAGGATAACCAAATACCTTTTGTACATACTGTTTTATACCACTTCACAAGTAATATAATTATCAACTTGGACGCACCAACTATTGACGGGCTACTGGCTATGAACGCCGTGTGCCACAGACCTTAGAGAGTAGTGAAATATATAAAGAGGCGAGGAATTCAGGGCAATCCTATACCAAACCTCATGTCGTCAGTGTATCTTCACATCACCTTGTGAATGAAATGCTATCAGAGCCGCACATGAAGAATAGTAAGTAACGATTGTAGGCTCTATTCAAGATTGTGATTCCAAGGGCTCTGTAAGCCGAACATGTCACATAACATGTATTACAGTAAGCTTTCTTATCCTTAAAGGCCCTCATCTATGTACTTGCCCTCAACTCTATCTTCCTAACAACAACGGTAACATCAGGCATACTACATGAATAGCGGCACTTTTGTCATTCTGCTAACAGTCACCTTCCCTACTCTCGCGATACTATCCTTTCTCTTCTCGCTAGCAACATACTTTCTACCACCAAGAGTACATCCAGGAACGAGAGCTCGTGTGGAGAACCTCGAGGAACTTCTGGATATCATACCGGAGATAGTTGAACACATTAAGGATCTAAGAAGAGTGGTCACTCACGAAAAGAAAAAGAAGAGGAAGCTGCAGAGTGATCTCAGAAATAGAGTGCCAATGGTAGGTATACGCGGTGGATCTGGCTCCTTGCTGGACGATGACGACGCACTTGAGACGGCGTCTGCTACAGAGTTACCGCCCAGCCCTGAGCATGAACCTTCATCTATGAATGGTACAGCAGATATCCTTCCGCAACTAGTACTCCATGTTGGGAATGAAGAAAACGGCTTCTCTCTACGTCTTCAACCAGTTTTCATCTATGAACATATTGGAACGCCCTCCTCCATTGGATATCAGCCAACCCTCACCATTAACTATCGGCCAATTGTCATCCACGATTATCCACCTGCGTCTTCTACCCATGATGAATTTGCCGAGCGTGTTACTGCACGCGCAGGAGATATCCGTCCCCGTCCTCGCCTCTCTATGCCCGAGCTCAATGAAGCCATTGGAGATTGGGGTAACGTAGTGAACACACCTGAAGGTCCAGTTCTGCGCATCCATGGGGAGGAAGGCCATGAATTCCATATTCGGCAACGTGCGGACAGCCGGCAAAACGGTGAGCACAGGACGAATAGATACGCGACAGCTACTCAGATTATCCATCTGAGCACGTATACCGCGCGTGTCATGGAATCGACAACACCGGACTCTTGCACGCGGTCGTCGCGCAGCGCATCGCTAAGTGGGACTACCCTGGTTGACTCAGTTGCGAGTCTTAGCATCGATGATGACGATGATGATGCAGTAGTTCCCAATGGTGACATAGATGGTGCGCCATTGGGAAACGATGAGATCTATCGGAATAACGCCTACGAGACACCCGCTGCTAATGTGCGACGACGCCGAGCTGTTAGCAATATGAGGAGGACTGCTAGACAGAATGCACATGCGGAGAGAGGCAACGCGATGATGAACGAGGAGGATGGGAATGTTGATGTAGCGGAGGCGGAGGATGTGTGGTGGGGTCTACGACACCGGAGGAGGGATAGCATGGAGGTGGAGATGATGCAGCATATGCTTAGTCGAGAGCGCGCAATTCAGGCAGAGCAGACACATCATGTTGAAACGAATGGCGGTGAGAGGGACGGGGGTAACGAGTCATCTGACGGCTTGTTGGGGGAGGCAAGAAGGCCTGCTAGTGGGTAGGTGTCTAAGCAAAAGTTTTGACCGACAGGAAAACTGCACGGTACTTACTTGATCTGTCGTGTAGTAAACCTGCGGTCTAGATTCGCCTTATATCGTGATGTTGTAGGCGCATGAACTCGTTCTGGGGTGCTTCAAGTGCAGACACTTCCAGGCAGATAACGCAACGACGAGTAAATATCAGTTTTTTTTTGGAGATCTTTGGGTGCTTTCCTATATGTCTATGCTCTACCACATACTATCAAGTTTCCTACACGCAATGCAGTTCTGAACACTCTGCCCCTTATCCTAGCGTTTGCAATGATACAGTCCACTGTGTCTCTTATACCGCTGAGAAAGTCATATCTTTATAGCGCTTCTCCAGATCCTCATAGTAAAACATGTTGGACATAATTCCCCCTCTTTACTTCTAACATGAACAGTTGTCGAAGATATAGTGGGCTCGATAATACATTCGTTGAAGCGTTGTCAGATGTTCGCGCAAACCGTTAAGATGGTCTCAGCTGCTCCGTCTTCGAGGGATCGCAGGCCAGCGACGGGCGTAGAAGGCGATCGTAGCTGTCCCTCGCTGAACGCCATCCTGGAACGCAAGCTCAATGTCCTGGACCGAATGAGCCTGCGATCTAAGCGTTATAGCGAACGCTCTAGCAATGATGCCTGACGTATAGTGACTTTCTGATAAGACTTGTTTTAGCTGGAACGAGTCTACCAGGGACGATACGAGTCCTTTTACATGTGCCAAGCTTGTTTTGTTGCGATGCATGCCAAATGCCCGGGACACCATAGCCATAGCTTGTGCCGTGCCAACGTTTATGCTGTTATTCTTATCCCGTATTCGCGAGGAGACATACTGCGTCCTGCGGCCAGATTGTATCTCGTTGAGACTTAGTAGGTCTTCACATGTCTGTTCTTGATTGGAGAGTTGGCGCAACTCTGAGAGCGGGAAGTGAGAGATGATGGCTGCAGCAGGTACAGAAGCCCATACCATCCGCTCTGACGAATGTTAGTATCAACACAGCATATATCGCGTATTGTTGTATTACCTGCATGTCCTTTATATCTGGCCCACCAAGCTTGGCCTTCTGCTTTTAACATGCGCAGGATTTCTGCTGCTGGTAAGGTTTTGTTTGGTTGTTGGAGTAATGCGTGATCGAGCGCGACTACATGTAAGATTAACAATTAGCCATGAACAACGAGTTTATTGGAGAATGAAACATACCGACAGCTATCCTGGGGTCTTCCATTGTGGAAGCCTTAACGAGCGCCTGTAGAAGACTAGTTGAGACGGATACAAACGCGGATGCACCACCGATCATTGAGAGATGCAAGTTTGTGAGAATCATGAGCGCCTGTCGTCCTTGACCATCAGGGGAGAAGGGCGGTGGATATTCACCCTTCCAGATTGAGAACGCTTGGCTCACGAAGCCAGTCTCTTCGTCGAACATCGTCCTGCTGTTTGCATCCCATACCCTGAACCCAATAGAATTGGTGGTAGGCAAGGAACTAGGGCTTGGTTGCGTAAATGTAACCGGGGATGTGTTAAGATCCTCAACATCCGACCAGTTCTCTTCATCTTCATACTTAACGTCCGCTGCTAGAGTTACTCCTCCAAGCGGAGGAACCTGTGCTGATGATCCTTGAACATTTGGCGCTAGAGGTACACAAGACATCTTCCTCTCTCTCTCTGCCGCGCGCCGAACTAGAGATTTCCAGTACTTCCTTGTGGTCGGAGATCTCGCGTATTGAGCTAAACCAGACTTTCGTTTGACCTCGATTCTCCGCCGCGACAAGTTAATGCCATATTCAGCCGCCTTCTCTTCGATGATCGCACGTATTTCACCGTACTTCTGCATAGGATCATGAAAAGGTACAGCCATGACGCGACCGAATTCTGGGTAAGCACGTGGGCCGTACAAGACCAGGTGGCTGTCGAACTGATAGCGAATAACTGAAAGTCGTAGATCTTGGTCGGTAACAGCATTGAAAGTCCTCGGAAGCGTCGTTGCGTCTTTGTCATTGTACCATCGGTAAAGGATCGTCAGCAGCTCCCGCTCATCTTCATCCCACTGGTGGGGTGGGTCACGTTCGAGGCGTTTCAATGCTGCTAATGAATCAAAGCCACCAGGCTCACCATATTTTGGTACGGCATCGAGTGTCTTGCGGACGTTTGCCATCCCAAAGTTGAGAGTTCGACGTACCAGTGGCGTTCGTTCAATATTGGAAACTTCGAGATGACGGCCTGTCTTCGAAGAATTGTGCAGCTTAGTAGAGACGATTCCGCCTGAAATCAGCGGGCATGGACTTGACAATGGCTCTGTACTTCCTGAAGCGTAGCGTGATGTGCCCAGAAGAGTTTTCATCGCAAGATCTTCGCCAGGCTCGCTCTTGATATACGATCCGAAGAGGCCCTCAACAGAAGGTAGTACCAAGTCTTGCTCATTGCTGTCTTCGCAGTCATCGTGATTGCTAGCTAACATCAGTCGTAGGCTGTTAGCCCTTGCCCTGTAACACTGTAGGCAAGAATAATTGGTGGCCACTTACCTTGAACATCAGCCTCTGCCACGTTGTCCGATTGCTCCAGAGCATGCGCTTCTCGTAGTGCCATAGCGGTCGCAGCTTCTACGGCCGGCTCCCACAGCAATACGCCGGCATCTGCAACCCTCCAGGTGTGTCTTGTCATTGCGATGTTGTAAGTAAGAAGCTGTTTGAAGAGTTTTCGTGGATCAGATAGCCAAATCAAGGCGCGTTGAACTGTTACCATCATGTTGGCACGCCAAGAAGACGTGTGAGCACGCGTCTGACGTGTCATGAGCGCGTTACGTGTGGTGAGGGAACAGAGGAGGCATCTTTTGTCAAACTGTCCAGGACAATGAGTCAGGGTGTTCACTTGGGTCAAGGCAGTGACTGCGCAATAGAGGTAGTTGGTCTTATACCTAGTGATTATGGCGTCTAGGTGGTGTTATGGAAGGCACCTGAGATATAAATCGAGGGTTTGATTGGCGGTGAAGTTCTATCGCTCTGCCGAAGTTGTTAGTGATGAAGTTCGCCAGCATGCTGTTCCTGACGCTCTCACTTTCTAGTACGATGAAAAAAGCCGCTGACTAAGAATAAAGCAGCCTTACTAGTATAATCGTTTGAATTATGTAGAGAAGGAAAGAGGAAGGTTGGAGTGTGAAGTAAGATAGACTAGCTCTATCGACAGTTGTCTTACTGCCCATGCTACTGTCTTGACTTTACCAGACTGTACGGAGGAGTAAAATTGGATAGGAACAGATAAAACAGTTAAACCAAGTAGCCGTATTGAACATGTAAAAGTCGGACTGATTACAGACAGCCTCCGAGTGTGTCCCACCTTGAGCTTCGTGATGACATTGTTGAGGAGGAGGGCGATAGATCGGAAAAGAAAGATGATGTGTCTAATCGGACTGATAAGATGAAAAGCAGATACCTTCCCACGCTACGTTACATTCGTTACTCAGGGTTGAGATGTTGAAAAGTGAAATAGGATGCAAGCGTATAACTTTTGGCGTCAGAGACGAAGCATAGATATGAACAGTCCGCCTTTCGAGAACATATGGTATGCAAAGAGCCAGGAGCGCCTGCGCAATGCTTCGATAGATATCCATGAAGTAGGAACAACCAAGAAAATGGATGTTTGAAGACGTTGTAGTCTATCGGTCCGAGTGTTTGGAGGATGCGGATGCGTGGGGTCGTCTGGTCAGGCCCACATGGAAAGTGCGACTCTGCGGCGCAGTGCGCGTTCGTACCGAATCGTTGATGTGACCTGGTGACGGGTTGTTGGGTTTGCATAAGCGCCCGAGTAGTGCTGTGGCTGCTGCGAACACGCATATGCGGTTCATGGACCGCATGCGGGACCTAGAACGTGATCGCACCTGCAGACAAGCTACAACCGGTTCGATAGTAAATTGCTTCTTACGCCCAGGTCACCACCAACAACACTATGCGCATGGCCCTCCATATCTGACGGACTGATGGTCGCTCATTTATGACCATGCTGCTCGGTGCAGATCTTCCTCACGACCCACTTCTCCCAGAATTTGCGTTGCTGATTGGTGACCATGACTCCATCATCCCCTAGAGCGTCCACGCTATCCATGTGGCCATTGCAGTTGCACCATGTTATTGAAGCCGGTGTGTCTGGCATTGGTGGAAAATGCAGAGTACCACCTTGTTCAGGCTCATCCGTCTCTGCATCGGATTCGGTGCCAGCTATCGAGCTACCGTCAGCATCATTTCCACTGCCACTGTGGTCATCGGATGGATCGTCGTGTTCGCCATCGTATTCGTAGTGGCTGTCATTGTCGCTTTCGTCGCTGCTATCACTTCCTAGAGGATCATCGGGAACTTCGGCTCCCATGACAAACTGCTCGTCGAAGTGTTTTTCGTATCCGATTCGTCGGAGACTGACCCAGTCGAGTCTTGTGAGGTCGTCACGTAGACAGGGGAGCACATCCCTCCACATACTGCCATCTTTTAAGAGCACATCTCGAAGGCGCAAACCACGCAGTGTGTCTTTATGTCGCTGAGCGATACCTAGGATTTCATCTGCGTTAAGACGCCAGGCTTGGATTCCAAAGGCTGCAGGATAAAGTTAGTCTATGTCGCAGTGCGTCCCATACCTTCAAAACATACCCTGCAACTTTTCCCATTTGACATTGTGGAAAAGCTCTTCTAGTCGTAACGTGAGTGGCCGATATGAAGGGAAACCAATATGCACTGCTTCGATGTTCTTAGCCGCAGTGAATAGTGCCTTGGACAATGAGGATAGATGCCGCATCCGTACGTCCAGGTCCGTGCTATCATCGAAATGTAACTCTAGACAAGTGAGGCGTTCGGCCAGAATTCCCAACGTTGAGGGAGGGTTATTGGCGGCACCTAAAACACTCTGAGGACTTAACATGGGTGACGAGAACCTTGAGCATGGTGATTCGGACTCAAGGAGAGCTTGACCGATCGTTTTCGCGCTATGCAGGCATGCTGGTGGCCATGTCGGCACTAGACTGTTCAGTTCGTTGTGACCCCGCATATACGAAATCAACACCGCATCTTGCTGGTCCTGCAGTCGCAGGATCTGAACATGCTGGAGTGAAGTGAATCGCTGGAGCGCAAAGTGCAAAACACGAGCATCTTTTCTTGTCCGTAGGATGTCCCTTTGCTCGTTTACTTTTTCTTGAAAGTGACCGACATCAAGGAAGCCGAAACTCTCAGGCCGTGTGCGTAAAAGCTCCTGAATGCGCTCTCGTCCTGTAACTTGGTCAGTTTCAAAGATGGCAGAAGCAGGATGTGTGATGATACCTTGATCATAGAAGAACGGTACCATGTAACTGAACTTCTTCACGCGGCCCGCAATGTGCGGCTGATTTGCAATCTTCTCTAGGCGTTCAAGTCCTTTCCGCGAGAAGCGTGTGGTAACGCGAGAGAACTGCAGACGTGAAGATACGAAGTCAGTGTACGTCTCTCATGCATTTCGTACAGGCACAACTTAACCTGATGAATCACCCCGAGCAAGGCGAACTTTCTGCATGTGAGGCGAAATTTCGCAACGGTGTCGGCGTCGTCAGGCTCTAGAGGCAGAGGTAGCTTAAAGCTCTCCTGTGAGAGATAGGCACGGCGCTCCAGGCTGATTGGTTTTTCTGGTTCAGAGGCAACATATTCGAGGATGATGCGAAGAAGCTCGTCGGCAAGATCGAGGATACCCATTTTAAGTGGGACCATTCATGACGACCGCGGAGGAGGAGCTCAACCACGAAGCTTAAGCTCCCAAGCGATTTAGGAGCGCACCGCACAGCGGATATACTTTGGATGCAGGGCAGCAGAGTTCGGGCCGGGTCGGGATACTCGTCTGACGGGTGGTGGTAGTTGGATAGCGACAGCGGGAGAGGGTCATCAACTGACGACGTGGTGTTATCCGACGGCACCGTTCTGTGGGATAGCAAGCGAAGGACAGCCAGAGGGGCGCGGTAGGGGGAAGAAATGCATGACCTCTTTGCCAGCAGTCAGCTAAGCGTCGCTGGAGTTGCGAAGACGACTGGACACGAAGCCTGGCCTTGCAGCGACAATCCCGGTACGCCCGCTTCAAAATCTCCAATGGCACGCGGTGAATTAGACTGCAACAGGAATAGTGTGCTGCAGTAGTCCATAGCGACAAATCGACTCTTTTAGCTCGGGAGGAGCCATGTTCCCGTCTCGCTGATGGCGGAATCCCGCGTTGAGAAACGGTCATGTGATAGAAGTCACTGGGGTGGGGCTGCAAATTTCCATGGCGTTGCCAACAAAGCATGCATCAGAAGCGCTTGTGACGCCAATCAGCCACAGAAAAAGCGTCATCCGACCGATACCACTGCCGTGTACTTGGGATGGCGTTTGCGCTATGCGAAACAATGGAGCGTCTTATGACGACACAGAGCTTGGGAGCCTCATAGTGGGCTGAAACGGGTGGTCAAGAGTGCAATATAATTATGCTGTAGAAGCGCGTCATTCTCTCCTGTTTCGCATGCGTCAAAGACATTTGTTACGGAGAGTCTACATCCGTAAGTCAGCTCGCACATGATGACGCTCTAATGCATTCAGACTGTCGACTATGGCGACGTGTTGCTTCACAAGCCCTATGCCGGCCCTGGTAATGTCATGCGGACCTGCGCGGTCGTGTGGCTTTGGCGCACGCAACTGTCGTGCAATGTCGCACAAGAAATGACACTAGACAACCTCCTGCTTCGTCAACTTGTCGACATGGTAAGTCGACAACGCCTCTGCTCACATACTGTCTGCCAACAAACACTCCGAGACGTGTCTCTTTCATCTCCCTGCTCAGACCCTGATTAACATGGTTCACGCCTTTGCCCTGGATTGAACACGTTCGCTCCGTTTACGACGAATCTCGGTGCTGCTCAGCTTGCTCTGGAACGTCTCGTCTACATTGCCTTCCTCGCTGGCATCGAGGACGGCAACTTCAAAAATATCGAGGGGATTCCATCCCTGCTCACTGCGCTTGTTGTTCACAGCAGCACCTCCGCCCCTTGTTTCAAGAGAGAGCACCAGGGCAGAAATTTCTTTGTCAGTGATGGTTGGGCCGAAAGGATCCCAGATCTCGACGTATTTGATAGTGAGCCCGAACGGATAGCTGACGTGGACGGCATGTCCGTTCGGTCCGGGTTCCTTGATCTCTTCAACGTGGATACGCTCGTCGCGTGGGGGGCCAAAGTAGACGATAGATGAGAGGAAGTTGTGTGTCGATTCTTGACGCTCTTTCCAGCTCTCGAGGTGCTCTGCAAACTTTTTATTTACTAGCAAAGCATCTCCGGTAATTCCAACGGTAAGCACGCTGGGAGTTGTGTCAGAAGGAGATGCTTGTCGTCTTCCCAACATGAAGGCAAACATGGTGAGCAGTAGTTTGTGACCAATGTGGAGGTGATCAAAAGTGCCTCCGACGGCAACGGACATGTGGTTGATTGAGTTGTCTGAGTTACCGGTAGACGATGATGATTCTGGGCTTTCTACACTGACAATGCCACCGCGAACTTTAGATATGGGTGTCTGAGTTTGGGATAAAGAAAGAAAGCTTCTTAGTACGCGCTCCCCTTCCTCGCTCTCAACCGAGTAGATAGTATCCCATGACCGAGAACTCCGGGCTAGCGTATGGATATCGATAGCAGGCCCTTGGAGTTCCTGCTCAGGAGTTGAATCGGGCAGCGGCGTCGTCAGTTGGCCATGCCGAGGATATGCGACTAATATGACGCGAGCATCAACGCCCTCAGAGTCTTCTGTATCGATAGATTCTCTACTAGCCGTGATGCAGATGAGCTTGTAGAGGTCGGCGACCAATTGTTGAGTAGTCGCATAGTGTACGCCCCGGGGCGCATCTAGATGTCCGTACAGATGCGGGCATGGCAGTGCAATTTCTAAAACGGTGGGTTCTTTTGATACGCGAGGAGATGTGGCCAGCTCTCTCAAGACAGTGAACAAGGGTGAGTTGTAGACGGCCTTGAGCGCAGCATATGACGGTGGTGAGGGCGCAGGCGGCAGCAACAGCAGTGCACGATGGACAGGCTTGCGTGATGGAGGCATGGCTGTAAGATTTGGTCAAGGAAGCTGCGGTTGGTAACTGTGACCTTGGGTCATGAACTATATAGCCTGGAAGCGAGCTGGAATCACATATACTCTGAGCCCTAGGGAAGCGTGAAGGGAGGGTTCGGAGGGGTGGTGGGGAACTTTTACCGAGATAGAGCCGCCGCTGCCCAGCAAGTCGACGCCAACCGCACTTCCAGCTCCTGGACGATTGATTACGCGCTGCGACAAACCACAGTCTCTCTTTCATCTGCCTGAGCCAGCGCAGTAGTAATTGCAGGCGCCATGCCCTTCGGAAACCACCACCACAATGCGCAGAACGACCCGGCGCAGGGCATCTTCGCAGCGGCTTCGGCGCTAGGGAGTATGTAGGCTCACTTCTGGGGGGGCATCTACCGTTGAACTTGGGCTGATGTGTGTTCTGCGATACTAGGCATAGGAGCGCCTGGAGGCAATCTGCGAGGAGCAACCCAGGGCACCACGCGGGCCGGCACCGACGCCTTTATGCCGCAGAGCAGCGGGAATGCCCAAGGACAGAGCGAAGGCTACATGGCCTCGACGGCGCCGCCAGCAGCCAACTCGAGCTTCGACGCCCCGCGACATAGAGCCCCGACTACAGGCGGACGCACCAACGAGGAGCTGCACATATCGACGACGGTAGGCCAGCATGTCCCAGTACCGTCATCCGTACCGGCGCAGCAGCAGGCAATGTACAACTCGCCCGACAATTATCGATCGGCGCCCAACATCAACATCGACCATGGAACCCCTCAGAACAGCCAGTATGGCTCCCCGGCCGTCCCCGGTAGCCTCCAGCCCGCCGGCGGTTCAGGGCAGCAACAGCAACAGCAACAGCAACAGCCGCCGCAACAACAACAATCACAACAGCCACAACAGCAGCAGCAACAGCAGCAGCGACCGGCACCCAACGCCGCTTACACCGCGCCCGTCGTGCCTACCCAGACCCAGATAGCGAGCAACGCCCAGCAGTACACGCTCCCCACGCGCTCCAACACCATCAGCCAAGCACAGCACTCTCCCCACTCAGGGTCGCATTCCTACTCGCGCTCGAGCCCAGCTGGCCTGGGGCCCGACCAGAAATACATTCCCTTTTCCAACACGCCCGAGCAGTCCAAGTACGCCGCCGGCACGCCTGCGCAAAAGTACTATCCTACCACTCCCTCCGGCGCTGCATCGCAATCGCCCCTGGGCCTGGCTGATATCAGGCCGCGCGCAAACTCGACCATGGACCAGGAGGGCGGCATGGGACACGGCAACACCATGGTCACCGACGGAAACAAGGTGCCCTCTAACAGCAACTACCTTGCGCCCTGGAGCATATACGCCTACGACTGGTGCAAATGGAACGTCCCCGGCGGCAACAGCGCCGGCAAGATGGCCGTGGGCAGCTATCTCGAAGACAACCACAACTTCGTGAGTACGAGACTGACTTTCACATGCGCCATGCTGACGCGACTTCTAGATTCGCATTCTCGACACCCAAATAGCCCCCCAAGACACGTCCGTCCCCGGCGCCACACCCTACGGCCTCGAATACAATGCCATCGCTGAAGCCACATGTTCTTTCCCTGTCACGAGAATACTGTGGGAGCCGCCATCTTCGCAGAAGCAGTCGACCGACCTCCTCGCAACGTCTGGTGATCATTTGCGGTTATGGTCATTACCTCAAGCCTCTGGCAACAACATGAGCAACACAATCACCCGCTCATCCTCCGTAAACACTCGAGAGCCACAGCTCCCTAAGCTCACACCACTCGCGCTTCTCTCCAACTCAAAGACCCCTGAACACACTGCGCCCCTCACCTCGCTCGACTGGAACACCATGTCGCCGAAGCTCATCATCACCTCAAGCATAGACACGACCTGTACCATTTGGGACATACCCTCCCTCACCGCCAAGACACAATTGATTGCCCACGACAAAGAGGTCTTCGATGTACGCTTCTGCGCAGGCAGCGTTGACGTCTTTGTCAGTTGTGGAGCCGACGGTAGTGTTCGCATGTTCGATCTCCGCAGTCTCGAGCACAGCACCATCATCTACGAGCCTTCAGACAAGGGCAATGACAAAGACAAGGGTAAGTCTTGGTGTGTTTACTTTCCACGTCAACCACTAACAGGTTACAGGCTCGCCAACAGGTCGCATGTCCCCGACCAAAGCCCAACAGACCATGTCGTATGCGCCTCCGCTCCTCCGGCTCGCCGCATCACCACATGACTCCCATCTCCTCGCTACCTTCGCCGCCGACTCAAACCTCATCCGCATCCTCGATGTGCGACAACCGGGCCAGGCCCTCCTCGAACTTCGCGGCCATTCTGCATCTGTTAACAGCATAGAGTGGAACCCGTCACGAAGAGGCATGCTCGCATCTGGCGGTGACGACTCACTGGTCCTCATATGGGATCTTCTCCATGCAAACAACGGCGCGACTATCAGCGGAGAACATGCTTCGGCACAGCCTCCAGTCGTCCAGCCAGCGACTACACATTCCGCCAATGGGGCTGCAGGTGCGCAGAATGTACCTGTGGGTCAGAAAGGACCTTATGCCAGCTGGAGGTGCGACTACGAAGTCGGCAATATTAGCTGGGCACCTCAGAGCGCATTGACAGGGCAAGGCGGCGAGTGGGTTGGTGTCGCCGGCGGACGTGGAGTTTGGGGCGTCAAGTTATGATGAGCGTTACGTTATCTCGTTGTTAAGGACTTGGTACACTCTAGGAGACGATATGAAATGCCCATGTACGATCTGATGCCTTTCTTTGCAAGACGGCATGGCAAAGAGGAAAAGTGCATAGCTTCTGGTACTACTTTCTGAGCACAATAGTTCAAGGGCGTTGCGGCGGGTTTGATGCATATCCAAGATACCTGAAAGTGCAAGATTCTGTCTTCTCTATTACGATTTTGCGCTACGCTATTCGTGTTTGCTTGAGATGACTTCTTTCCATACTATTCGGCCTCTTCACAATTTCTTTCCATAACCAGCGTATGTTCATCGAATAACAACTTCAACGACAACCTCGTTGCTCCATCCAGCCTTTGAATCAGTTTCTTTCCACGCACGAACGGTATCGATTTCAAGCACATTCTCGCATTCCTTGCTAACACTGACGCAGTGAGCTGGGACAGGACGGCCGAAAAGCACAGCGAAGAAGTCGTTCTCAATAGAGCGCTTGGGCAAATCCGAGACGTAAAGTGCTGTGTATTGTTAGCCAGGATGTCAATAGCGAAGAGAGAGAGAGGGGGGGGGGGGGGGGGAAAAAGAACAGAAACTCACCGAAAGTGCCCAAAACCTTACAACTTGTCCAAACCCTCAGTCTTCCCGAGTTCCTGTCCACATACGCATCTGCACTAATAATCGCCGCCGCACCCGTCATCTTTCCCACAATGCCCAGATTCGCCACGCTAATCTTACTCGGACCTTTCGCCTCACTATCTTCTCCCCTCTTGAGTTCGAGATCCAGCAATGGATACGCAGAGAGAATCTCCCAGCCCCTAATTGGCAAGTCAAGGTGTACAAAGGCCTTGTTCGTCGCCACACTGGTCGGTTCCGTAACCTGACCGTCAGTATGCGAACGAATGATGTACGTACCCTTTTCTGCACCAGGGAAAGCGTCCAAAGCAATGAGTTCAGAGACTGGCTTGGGCGTGCAGTTGAAGACACCGAGGATGGAGACGCCAGTATGTGCCATGCCGACGTAAGTCGTTACTTTGAGGAGGACTGTATCATCATAGGCGTTGTAGGCTTGTGTTGTCTTGCCTACGGTGTGGGGGCGTAGAATCACGGTGTCGCCTCGGGGTGTCTTTCCTGTCATCTGATGGATGAGGTCGATGTCGTGTTGGCCGGGCACGTCGGTAATGTAAATTGGTCCGCCCGATACGCAACGCGCAGCGGCATGGAAGGCAGCATAGTCATGGCTTGTTTGGAACATGTCCCAGTCTGGGAGGATGTTGAGGTATTGTGTTTTGATGGAGTTGTGGGCGTTGCAGAATATGTGCCAGGGATGGCTGGCGGGCACTTCGGGGAAGAAGTCGTCCGAGTTGCGAAGTAGCATGCGTGGTTTGTTGGAGGGAAGTTGAGAGTGAAATATTAGAGGCGGTGCTTGTGACATGCAGGATATTGCGCGGGCGGAAAAGGAGCGCAGTTGGGCGATGGACCAGGCGTCCTGATAAGACTTCATTAGTTTGCGGCGGTCGTCTGCATCATGGAGTTCATCGAGGAAGAATTGCGCGTCTGTTTTCACGGAGTCGATACCGCACGAAGACAGGAACTCGTAGAAGGCCTTGTAGAAACGGTCCACATCTTCCTCAGCTACCACGGGGATTTTTCCGCCGGAAACACCGTCTTTCAGTTGTACCTTGGTGGTCTTGTAGTCTTTGGCTATCTTCCCCTCGGGAGCTATACCGCCCCAATATCCAAAGATCGCGTGCCAAACAGCGATGTGTCGGATATGACTATACTTCTCTCGGATGTCGCTCACTGTTGCTTTCAGACCACGAGGAAACCCAGTTTTGGTTGCTTCAAACTCCATCCAAGCGTTGTTAAACTGGTCCCCGCCTTCAGTGTTGAGTGACTGCCAATTGTCGTCTATAATCAGATTACTGATATTGATATCGTTCTTGCGAAGTGACTCCAAGGCATCGAAAACCTTATCTTCGGTGAGCTTTTGGCCAAGACCGTTCCAGGTGCAGTACGTCAAGCCGTCGTACCAGTTCTCTAGCCATTGCGGTTTGAAGTCGTCAACCAAAGCCTTCTCCTCTTCATTGGTTTGCCCCGTCGATGCTTCATATGCCATTACGAGCTTGCGAGCATAGTACATGGAGGCCGCTACTGCGTCGTCCAACTTTCTGCCTACTGCAGCAACAACGCGTACAGTGCCGTCTTTCTCGCTGTCATTCTTGGCGTTCATGACGACTCTGCCGTCACTATCGTGATTGAGAAGTGTTAGGACCTCGTCTAATCCACTCACTGCGAGAAGAACCAGATGAGAGCCGTCATGGCGCTCGAATGCTGCCAACATAGCATCCTTGTCCGGCTGGAATCGGTCCTTGCCCTGTCTCGGAGCGAGCCATGGAGCCCATAATCTGACTTCAGCGAACCAACGTGAGAGATTTGTCGGCTTGCCAAGCCTCTCGCTCGATTGACCGGATGTCTTGCCTGACGCTGCGCTCACGGGGTAGGTCAGGTCCCATAGGACCGTATTGGGCGTATCGCTCTGTTCTTTGGAAATGTTGAGAAATGGTGGAAGACCCTCAAGGTAATATGTCAAGTCTTCTTTTAGCGGATCTGGCGACTGGTATATGATGCGACCGTCCGAAGTTGAGAACTGTTCATTGGCCCATTTCCAAGGCTCGTTCTGCGCATGTCAGCGGAGGGGTTCGCGCGCCCATCTGCGACCATCGATCCGATGGCAAGAAACTAAAAGACTGGAACAAAGTGAAGCTCATTGTAAGCACAGAGTCTAGCACTTACCTCTGAAGCTCTGAATGTGATGGTGTACGACAGAGAAGACCCGTGCTTCGGACGTCCCGGCAAGTCGATTGTATAGTACTGACGTTGTACATCTGCTTTATCGGGCTTGACGGCTGTCTTTGAGCAGTTAGTTTCCCGACGCGCCCATACTGTATGACTGATGCTGACCACTGATGCCTCGTTACTCGACTGCAAACTAGTGCTTGTCCATTGGTCCAGAGTATCAAAGTTGTGCCACAGAGCAACCTCCCATGTCTTTGCTGAGCCGGCAGAGCTCTCAATGACTACAGTGAATCTGACCGATTCTCGATCAGAGGAAATAGTAGTCGTCTGTCCCAGCGGAGGATGGCAGCTTAGTGCAGCGTACATGTTAGCGGTCAAGGTTGGATGTCAGGGCGAACTGAATGGTCAGGGCAATGGATTGAAAGCAACACAAGCAAAGACACGATGGACAAGATGAATGAGAAGGGTGTATTGATCTTGTATTGATCGAACAGCTAAAGTATAAGAAGCACAATGATGCATATGCAAGCACTAGGATGCCCGAGGGAGGTGCAGGTGACGTGTGCGGAAGCGACACGGAGGTCGGGGTAGCTGCGAGGTGAGCTCGAAACCAGCCAATCGGCGTCATCGGGGTCCCATCTTGGCATCTGGGACATTTTGACACGGGCCAAAGTTTCCATGCCGCTCAATTGGCAGCCATGTCAGCCTTGAGACACCTGTCAAGGCCCCGGCAATTTGTTTGTCGGCAATGTACACGACAGCAACACAGCCTCGCGCGTGGTGAGCGGCAGGACAAGAGATGGGCTGCCGAAGAACCAGATGCAGCAGCAAGACAGGCGCAATGGGAGGACCAGGCGGGGAAGGTGCGATCAGGCATGCAGCAGAGTATGCTGAGTCTACTTGAAGAGCGAGGATTTGTAAAGGACGTCGCCGGGTGAGCACGACAACAGACATCAACCTCGATTATACTGAACATTGGCAGTGGACGCCAAACGCTTGACTGGCTGCTCACCGAGAAGCGCATAGGCGTGTATGTTGGCGTAGACCCAACAGCCCCCTCTTTACACGTCGGACACCTTCTTCCCCTCATGGCGCTTTACTGGATGTACCTTCATGGCTACTACACCGTCAGCTTGGTGAGGCGCCCACGATTCGGTATACACAAAGCGGGAGTTAATCATGGATAGTTAGGTGGAGGCACAGTGCAAATTGGCGACCCATCTGGCAGGACGACAGCTCGTTCGCGGCAGGGCGAAGACGTGCAGTCTATGAACGTGAAGAGCATACAACACCAGCTGGAGAAGCTGTGGACCAACGTGAAATGCTTGGGGATCAAGCACCAGTACCCGCAGTTCGTCAGTCGAAAACGGGACATCCTCAACAACAAGAAATGGTTGCAGAGCCTGAGTGCGATAGAGTTGATGAGGGATCTTGGGTCTGGCATGCGCCTGGGTGCCATGCTTGGTCGCGATTCGTAAGTCCTCCAAGCCTTTCATAGGCCTCTTCTTCTCACACACTTGCAGAGTCAAGCTACGGATGGAGAGCGGCGAAGGCATGGCCATATCTGAATTCAGCTACCCTCTCTTCCAAGCCTACGACTGGTGGAGCATGTACCGAAACCAGGGCGTTCAACTCCAAATCGGCGGATCTGACCAGTACGGAAACATCATTGCGGGTATGGGCGCCGTCAGCCATATGCGGAAGATATATCCCATGGAAGATGGTGCAGAAGGTGAAGAAGACCCACGGGTTGCAACCTATGGTCTCACTACACCACTGCTTACAACAGCGTCGGGCGAGAAGTTTGGCAAGAGCGCGGGCAACGCAGTCTGGCTTGATGGTCAAATGCTGAACTCGTTCGACCTATACCAAGTATGCTTTTCGCACTTTACTAGAGATCTACTACTGACAGATTGGTACAGTACTTCCTCCGCACCGCCGATGCAGACGTAGAACGCTACCTCAAACTCTTCACCTTCCTCCCTCTTGACTCCATCGCCCTCCTAATGGCGAGGCAAGCCCAAGATCCTTCAAAACGCCTCGCCCAACACATTCTCGCCCGCGAGATCGTCGAGCTGGCACACGGAGCCGCGGCAGCACAGCAGGCCATTACCGCACACAAGGACGCCTTCGGTCAGGGCGCCCACACCTTTTCGTTACTCTCGCTGAGAAACTCGATTGCCGAGCACAAAGGTACGGTTGTTGCAGCAAAGGAAGGTATGGGGAAGATGGATAAAGAGTTGTTCGAGTACAAGAAGGCCTATGCTGCCTCTTCAACCACGCAATCGGTATCCGACACTACATCAGAACAACAAAAAAACGTCAATGAGAACATCGTCACGCTGCCTCTTTCGATGCTTCAACCGGGTTCCTTCCCACAAATTCTCTACGCCGCCGGTCTTGCAAGCTCCAAATCTGAAGCCAACCGCATGATTGCAAACAATGGTGCCTACGTTGTAGTACCGAACTCTGGTCCGTCTGAGAATCCCACTGCGCTGAAGTGGTCAAGAATCAAGCCGGAGAAAGATGTAGATCCCAACCACTATCTTGTGGACTGGGAGGCACTAGTCTTGAGATCCGGAAAGACGAAGATTCAGATCTGTAGGGTAGTTAGGGATGATAAGCTTGAGAAGAAGGCAGAGGAGACGGAGCAACAAGAATCATGAGAAGTTGGAGGAGGATCCATTGCTGGTGGAACAAAAGGACGAATGCTATGTCATATGCTCCACTCTATTCTATTATGTTATCCAACTCTTCTGCAGCGTTGATGATGTTCTCTGGCGAAACGTAAAAGCAATGCCTGCACCAGTATTGATTCCTCATAACCCCCAACACCATTCTACCATTATTCAGAACTTCCTGAGGAAATCGCCGTCTGGAACTCCTTACTGTTCCAGATGTCGACCAAACCTCCCAAAACCCCGTACACCATGTCTAGGATGTTGGAACCTAGTCCCGGCACCGATCTTGCATGGCGCAAGCGGACTGTCCTGTACTCCTGCTTCTGTCTGTACCAGCCCGATACCGCCATCCTCATCCCTATTCTCGTTGTACCGCATGGCTCGCCGTTCCTTTATTGGTGATGTACGTGCAGAGTGATAGCGCGTGGGGCCGCGTTCGATGCACACGTTGGGACTAAGAGGGCTGAGTTGGACGCCGCCGTCTTCGAAGATTGACTGTCTTGCTGGGAAGTTGCGAGAGCGGACAGTGACGGTTTCTGTAGACTGAGCTTGAGTTTGATTTGTAAGAGGTTTGGACGAAGATGTGTTAGGAAATCGCGGTGCGGGAAGAGACTTGAATAGTGAGGGGGTACGTGGGTTAGTGTCGAAATCAAGGAACGGGTCCCGAATAGTGGCATCGCAGGTGGGAGTGGGCGACTGTTCGGAACTCTTGTGGAGGAGATCAATGTCAGTGAGTTTAGGGGGTGGTGGTAGTAGTGATGAGAAACTGCTGGACTGGCATTCCATCTCATCTTTCACAGTAGGTGTATTCCATTCGCTTTCAGCTACGTTTGTTAGCCAGTCGTTAATTCGGTCCCTAGGCGGGCCAGTGAGACTGTAAGTGCGGCTTCGAGAGCCCGCAATGAAGTAACCCGAATCATCGGACCACGACTCTGAACTCTGCTCGGATATGTGGGGGCTCTTTAGCTGTAGCTTATGTTGTACTATCCGAGATGAGCTTGTCGATAAGCACAAAGACTCTGAAGGACGTGTCGGAGATGATGTGAGAGTACAATGTCGTTCATCTCCGTCGTACTCCTTTGTTGGTGACGCTTTCCTCGAGATATTTGGCAATTGGGGGTATAATACGCTCTGCCCACTTTGAGGCGATATGTGGTCACGACTGGCGTCCTCGAAGATCTGTCTCATCCGTGCAGCATGTCCCGCACGAGCTGGGGATTGCAGTAGTGCTGAACCATTGTTCGCTCGCCGAGCCCGAATGTTTGCCTGTTTGGAAGGCGAACTCAGGAAGTCATCTGGTCCTGGTAACTTTGAAGCAACCCGTATTGGCTGTGCCAAACCATGGTCGGTGAAGGTGTCGTTTGTAGTCAAACTGGTGTGTGCGCCATCTGACGGTTCAAGAGCTATGCCACCATCCGGAGAGTCCTTCACGCTGTCGACATGCAGGAGCAGACGTATGGAGCCCGGACTGGGTGTGACAGGATCGCGGGTTGTGGAACTGCGTCCTTTGACAATCCCCTACAATATAGTTAAGTAACACGTAAACGATGTCCGACTCATCAACCCTCCACGAACTTGCTGAGGAGAGGCCATATTGATCGGCTGCGCGGTTTCCCTATTCTCTCTCATGGCTATCCGAGATGTCTTGGCATGCTTGAGTCCAGATTCCGCGTGGGTCCGAGAGGTTGCACAAAGATGACTCGAGGATTTCAGCAGTAGTACATGACCTTGTGGCTGGCGTTTTTATGGGAGACGTGCAAGAGCTACATCAACGCTCCCACATGCTGCAGTCACCCGTCATGCCTGTCAACCGTGCACTAGTAGTTGCTTCCCCATCATGTTGTTGTAGCACAAGCGCATAGCAAGATTGCAGAGACAACCACAACAACAATGAATCGCACATGTGTGGGGTGTGACCATTTTTCCGGAGGGTTCAATAGTCAGAACACATTGACTGCTAGTGGAGTCGCGAGTCGCGAGAGGATGACGCATGCAGAACAGGCACCTCGGGAGGACGCAGGTACAGGTGGAGGCAACAGAGGGTCTTCGCAGTATCTGGTAGCGATGACCGCGATTCCGTATGCACAGAGCACCTCGCTCGAATCAAGTCGATAAGAGGCGTTCGCGGGATGTTTCTTTTTTTGCTCATCATCTCCGGCAGGTTGGCCTCACGTGTTGAGACGAGCCGCGTGCCTGCCCAACGGCCAAGTACCAAACTTTGTAAGAACTTTAACGGTAATTGCTGGATAAAGTCAGCCTTACGATACTCCACGAATCTCTTCAAGGTTCAGGTTCAGTACCACGATACGCGGGACGGCGTAATCGGCACCACAAGGCCGCTGGATCTCGCTTGTCGATCGCTATCTAGGGGCGCCTCACGTTGATTGCAAGCCAGCGGGCACCGCTCTGTCCACTCTGATCCCGCCCTCACGGACACTGCGGTTCTGTATGTCATTTAATCTCCATCCTCCGTTCATTCGCTGAGCCTCGCAAAAAGAGACATCGATCTTGGCCCTTGATCCAATCTACAGGCTCGGCCCTTTCTCCGATCACATGGGTTGTGACGACATTGTCTGGACAGTGTGTATGCGCGCTGCTGAAAAAAACCTCTCCAGGTACGACGGTTCGCGCTCCTGCACCTACCCTATGTAGGAGTCGCTATGGAAGTATTGTCTGGACCCAATGAGGCGTAATGCATGCAGGAACAGGACGCGAATTCTAAAATGGGCTGTCTTGGCCGGGACGACACTCGAGACCGACTCGTGGGCCCGCCTCGTCTACGCAAGGTGATGCTATGTAAAACACACCAGGGCCGCATGCATCTGAAGCATCCTTCAACGTTGCCGGACCATCGCAGATTGCTGACAGCCACGAATAGCTCACCTGCGCCGGGCGCGACCTTGATAACATAATTGCAGTCATCATCACCATTGCAGCGGACGTTTTCGAAAAGGCGCATGCTCTCGCACCGTCGCACGTTGGGCGCATCCTCGGTACCTTCTCCTCACCTCGTGCTGGGGCGGGAGTGTGTGCGCTGCCCGCGACTGTCGCACCATGCTGCATTCACTAAAAAGTGACCAGTACGAGGCCCCTGAATCGACCGCGCATGTCGTGGCGTCTTCGCTTCCTGCACTACACCTTCTAGTCTGTGCTTCTAAACTCTGAACCATGCCAACCTTGCGTGTTCCACAATCTGCCCTGCCTGCCACTCCAAAGTCTCTGTATTTGCGAGACATGTGGTCGCTGCCTCGACTGTCTTCTGCTCGTCCTCACTGTTCCCATTCCATCCTGGCCTGAGTCCATATCGCGAGCCCGAAGCTCCTCCAGCGACATCGATTTGCCGCATTCTAACTATCATACTTTCTTTTTACTACTTTCGATACCTCCGCGTAGCTTAGTCCCCGCATTTACTCGCTGTAAATATTCCATATACTTGGCCAACGGCTGTCAATCAATTCAACCGCCTCCATTCATCCAGCATCGCTTCCTATCGATAACCCGTCTTTCCGACAACCCTCGTCTGACTTGGCCCAGAACCTCTTACTGTACGTACATGGATTTCCTTTGAAACCCCATTGGGATCACCGTCACGGTGCTGCAACAGGCAACGTCACACCTTCCCCTCTACCTCCCTTCTGCGTCTGCTCTTGTCGTATTTGGCTTGTTGTTGCTGGGCTGCATAGGCTCTTGGACTATAGCAGTCCGGTTCTACTCTGCATTACTGTAAACTCTTCGTTTGGAGGAGCCCTTGTTATCCCACTTGAGCACCACCGATCATGCGAGGCACTCATTCTGATCTGTGAGATTGTAGGCCACTCATCATCTGATACGCCGTATCACTCACCTCCTGGTTCCTGACTCCCTGAAACCTGAGGCAACTGGGCTTTTCTCACGCAAGGAATCGCTGCTTTCCGCTGTCTACCGACGCGTACCAAATCATTCTGTCTTGTTCCTGGCGTCTATCCTCCACTCACTTCTCTGCCTGCAATCTGCTTCAAGTACCTGGACCAGCTTTCCGGGATTTGAGCACTTCAAGGCCTGCCTTTCATACATGTTCGCATTGGCCATCAGCTGTGTTGCAACAAGTGCATATGCGTCAGTAGTTGCACAGTCGGACCCACAGTCAACGCTCTCACACTCCGCAGGCTGCCTGGAGCATACTCGTCAACATCAACAGCTTCGCGCATCGAGGGCGTGAACCTTACGTCACACGATACCCTTCCATCATCAAACCTGTGTCAAGTGGCACATCTACCGTCAACATTCCGAAATCTAATTCATGAGTTACGACCAGAGACTGGGCGCCGGAGTATACGGTGCAACAGACGCGGGCAACGATGGAGACGCGAAGAAGGGCTCAGTACGGGCGGCTCGTGAGAGGATGCAGGCTGCGCAGAAAAAGACCCAGCTCCCAGACACATCGAAGATAATAGGTCTTCCTCGACGACCGAACCAACTTGTTTCGCAGCGGTCTCAAGAGCAAGTCGAGCAACCACAAAGACTTGCACCCTCGGGAAGCAGAGATGATATTGAAGCAGACTCGCCGTCACCACAATGGCCACTGCCGAACATCACCAGGGAATTGGTAGACTCCAGTCCTGATATCCCACCACGCTCTCCAAAAAGATTACAACCACCGCCACAGTTTGCACGACCTTTGTCCGACGAGTTTCCCATCCAACAGCTGTCCCCTGAACTCCCTTCACCAGCCTCCCCGGGATATCTACATCCCAATGGCGATACCTTCTCTCCTGGCTCTTTCCGTTCCTCGCGCCCAATAACTACCTCATCTATAGCCTCGGACTCTTCGATAGGATCCATACCCGACTTTCCTGTGCCCCAACCACCTATGCCAAGTATACAACAAGCTCGACGATTTCCGAGTCTAGGCCCGCCGCCTTCCTCCCGAAGAGGTCCGTCGTCGTACTATACACAGATGTCGTATGTATCGCCCATCGTTGAGGAGTCGGAGAACAACTCTTCAAGAATACAATCACAGCGTGGATCCTTTGCCTCTAGCAACGTGTTTCCCACAGACGACAAGGCCTTTTACCCCGATGACGACCTATACTCGGACGATGGTGAGACTATCACCAGCGATCGCGGCACCATCTCACCAACTCCGACCGATCACGACGACCGAAGCGGCCTCGTTCAGCAATCACCTGCACTCGTAAGGCAAGCGAGCTTGGGCAGGCGGACTAAGCCATCGCTGATGACCATCAAGTCAATTGACAGCTTTGGAAACAAGAAGAACGGAGCGGATGCAAAGAAAGATGGCGTTGGTATCGGTTTAGGGGCCATGGGGCTAGGAGCTGCAGCTCTCGCAAGGGATGGTAGTCCGTCAGGCATGCCAAGGTCACCTCTCAGCCGAGGCGTCTCTGCAGACTCTGTGGACACTATTGAGATGTTCAAAGGCAAAAACTACACAGGAACAGCGTCACCACTGCAACAAGAATTACGCCCGACTGGACTAGCCGAGCGTGCTGGTATGCGAAGGCCTGCAAGGCTCGATATGGATGCGGTCCGGGACGCCGAGGCGCGTGGTAGCTTGACAAGCTTGCCAGATCTCATTCGAAGAGCCACACGACTAGCAGCAAATCTCGATCGTGGACGCACAGCGAGTCGACTTGGTCTAGACTTCTGGGAAACCGGTGCTCCCGATAGGAACCAAGTCCGGCAATCCGGATTGTCTGAGATGCTTGCTGCATTTCCGCCGCCTGGCCAAGAAACACCCAACCGTTCGGGCCGTGGTACTCCAAACTTTGGGAACGGCAGTCTATCCAAATGGCCATCAGGTGGCTATTCGCGCAATGGTGTCACAGACTCTGGATTGAGTAACGAAAAACAAAAGCCGCGCCGACGATGCTGTGGTATGCCGTTATGGACATTCATCACGCTCCTAATAGTCTTACTGGTTATCATCGCTGCTGCAGTCGTCATCCCAGTAGTCCTAGTCGTCATACCAAACATGAACAAAGGAGTCAACAACACTCCTGCCGCTCAAGAAACTCAAGGACCCAACACCGGAGGCAACAACAACATGAGTAACACCAATGCTCCTGCTCAACCACTTCCCACGTCTGGTCCGGGTCAAGGCAACGAGCAATGCAACGGTCTCATCACCTGCCAAAACGGCGGTATCGCGATCCTGAATTCTGACCGATCATGCAATTGCGTATGCATCAATGGCTTCACGGGAAGTACATGCACGAACGATGATGCCACCGGGTGCACCACGACTAACCTTGCCGGCACTGCTAACAACGCAACCATGGGCTCCGGCATTCCTCGTCTTCTTGAGACCACTGCTCCCAAGTTCAATATTCCTTTGGACGGCACACGCGTGCTGGCGCTGTTCTCTCAGTTGTCTCTGAGCTGCGCTGCCGAAAATGCTCTCATCACGTTCAATGGGCTTGCCTCTCGTTCTGTTCCGCATCGTCTCCACTCGATGGATCTGAAGTCTACGCTCCACCCGTCACGTACGTTACCAGTACTTCACCATCCCCATCCTGCGCAAGCTCCTGGCCAACAAGCCAAGCGCCAGACCGTGGGCCAGGTTGGCCAAGCTGAGGCTTCGAGTGACGAGAGCACATCCAAAGCTGAAACCATCATAACACAACCTATCTCAAGCAACATCAGTGCTCTCGACTTTGCTCGTGTAGCTGTACTCCTTGCGCTCCAGGAAAGCAAGGACCTAGATGTTGCCGCGAGCGCACAGGAGTCAATTCAAACACTGCTCACAAACGATCGCAACGGGAATGCGGACGGTGGTAGTGTTGATGTTGGTCCTTTCGATTTGGACCTTGTCAACTTCACGATCAAGTTTCAGAACGGCACCACGATACGTGCGCCGCCTTCATCCTCCTCTTAAGCATCATCCATCTTTTCGCGACATCAGTTAGATTTGAGATCTTGCCTTTCTCAGCATAGCGATACCCTTGTTACATTTTTCATCAAACCAGACAGCATCTCCATTTTCATTACATTCAGATCTTGTTCAATATCTTTGTACGATATCAAAGGGCTGGTGTGTGCCCGTGGATCAGCACAGCGCTGGCGTGTCTCTTTTTCCTTTCGTTCACTATCCTTAACACCATGTTTTCCTCTTATACCCGTCCCGTGGACGCATTGTCATGACCGATGGACTGGATCTAATGTTTGTTTTGTTATGGTTGGTGGGAAATACCCGATGGTGGAGTTCGATATAAACGGCAGTCTTGATCTATTAGCGAAAAGGATAGTGAGTAGCATAGCACAAATACCATAGCAATTAGATTGGTGTGACAAAACTACAAAGCTAGTCGAAGCCTCCAGGCGTCTCGATACATGTGAACAGTGAAGATGCTGGGTGACTGATGAATACAGGTAACGACCGCAGACTTATGCAATATACCAACAACGTATCAGGCTCCGATATCCATCGCTAATGTACAGCTAAATCGCGGTTAGTGTACAGATGCTCTCTCCACTGTGTTGTGGTCGCTACTAGGTGTTCTCGTGTTCCCCTGATATCTCTTGGTCTGCCTTCCACAACTCCCCTCTTTCACCTCAACCCAAACCTCCCCAACATGAAGCCTGCCACCGCTCTGCCCACCAGAACCTTGCACTCTCCGCTTAAGGTCCCCCAACTCCCACCTTCACGATCCAAAAAAGGGTCCAAAAACTGGTCACGCCGCCAACCTAATCGCGCTAGACTCTCACGTCTACACATTAAATCCACGCCCCTCCAACTCTGCGATCCTTCTTCCACGCACAGCGACTGACAGAATCACACACATTGACAACACATCATACTCCATCAATCGCCGCTGAGCCTTTCTATCTTACACCTCTTTAATTCGCAACTGCGACAAGTTCATCCACTTCGCCAATTCGGCTATCGCCATTCCATTCGCTCTGATAGTGCATCGCGACAACCGTCAACACTATGTGGGCGTTCAAGGTCTTGCCCGCCTTGTTCGGTGTGGTTCCATGGTTCAAATCCACGGTTTCTACTTCCAACATCGAGGCCGTCGTCGTCACTCATCTAGTGCTCGAAGCGCCTTTCATCTTGCCAACTGTCACTGTCACCGAGACAGTCGGTATCCCGGCCACTCCCATTACTCACGCCATCCCCACTATCTCCTCCACTCCTACCCCTCAGTCTAGTCGTCCTAGGCTCAACCTCTACAAGTACTCCTCGCCTGACCACAGTGAGTCCCGCTATAGGGCCCATAATCGCGTGTCCACTGCGCACGCGATGGCGGTACCTCAGTACTCCAAGCTTGACTTGGTTGTATTCCTCGTGACCATCTTTGCCGTCACCATCATGGCTTGGTGGGCCACTGTCTTCGCCATGGGCAAAGGCCGCGCCATGCGGAGCCTCGGCCAGGTCCTCCCAGTTATCAACGATTCCTTTCAGCACACTGGATGCCGCATTGGATATGCAGGTTTGCTCCTGGGTTGGTTTTGTTTGCTCACCGACTACTGGTTCAGATGGTCAGAAGGATACATCGTATGGCCAAGGATCTTCAGTACCTTCCTGTCGTACCCACTTATTCTCATCGTTCACACGCAACTGCCACCCTCTAAATGCATTCCTCCCCTTTGTTGGAGGTTTGTCAAGACGGTCGTGAACGGTATAGGACAGTGGTTCACTAGACAAGCACACGACTGGTACGAAGGCCGAACAAGCAAGCGTCGTATCGACGAGATGTTTGAACGACATATGTCCGTAATCACCATCGGAGAATGTCTTTTTCCGGGCCTTTACGACACTTACCCAAACCCGGTGACCTGGTCCCAGATATTCAAGGCCATCGGGACAGACCTTCTATTCTTCTTTTGGAACTTGATCATTGTCGTGATCAAGCTCCGCATCCGATCTTGGAAGCAAATCATACCACACATGCTGGACGCTTTGCGAGTCACGGCGCAAGTTTGTTTCGGCCTTGAACATGAGGATGTCTCTTGGAGAATCTGGAAAGCAGGCTATGTGACCTTTTTGAGAGGCGTTTGTACCATCTGCTCCATGGCCTTGGAGCTTCTCAAGACATTTCTCGGTATGATTTGGGTTGTGCTCGCAATGGGCAAAGCCGCCCTCAATCGTTCCCGCCTTCGTTATCTGAACACATCACTACCTGACAATTTGACGAAAGACGAGACCGAGGCCTATGGAAACAAAGTCCACGAGGCTTATTGCAAAACAGCGACCTACGACTGGACCCAGACCGCTCTGCTGTTTCTTGCATATCAAGCAGCGTTGGAAGACAAAGATGCGTTGCGTTCACATACCGACGACATCATCGCATTCTACAGCGCCATCAGCCAAACCATTCGGAGCCCAGAGTTTCTTCAGATCCTCGATCGAGGTAACATGACTATTTACAAGGACTACCGTAATTCCCTCAGCATCCTCGCCAAGTGCGCCCAGGTCAACATCCGCACTTTGGATATATGGGGACCCAAGGTTGATGATGTCGCCACGGCTATGGAAGCCAAGTTTGTTCCTTTCGAACGCGACGAGATCGTCAAGTTCGTCGCTGGGATGCAGTTTGGTGCTTCGCCGCTTCGCCAGCATAAGACGGCTTCGTTCCCAAGGATGAGTGAGTGGACGGCTGATCCTTTCCTGACTGATGAGCCTGCGCCCCGGTCGATCTGCCTCCCGCTCACGAGGAACTTTGCCTAGGCACTGGTGGAACTGTGAACGCTCCGATCAAAGATACAGACGAAGAAGAGAAAAACAGCATCGACAAGGCGGAATTCTCACCGCACGCCAACGCCAATCGAACACTCCAAACAACACCTACCGTTACCATCGTCCGTCACCGATTCTTGCGGACTATCTCACCACTACCCCTTCCCCTTCCACTTGAACCATGATTGAACATAGACAAGCCTAGCCCAACCCTTTATGAAGCCGAGACAGTGTAGTTGTAGTGCACGCAAACGTCTTCCAAACAGCTTCTCACCAATCCCATGCAGCAGGTATAGTCCGTCCGCGGTGCCTGAGCGACTGAAAAGTCCCGTTCTGAAGGTTTGAGGGGTTTGAGGATAGACTTGTTTATGTTTCATCTGTGTTCGGTGGTCTGATGGGTGCGTGGTGCTTTGTGGGATGGACAGTGAGAAGCAAGTGACGGGGGCTGGGAGGGTAGGTGCAAGCAGGGGTGCTTGAGTGGAATAGCGTAAGGGGAGGAAGAGGTGGAGTCGGCTTTGAGGATTTTGGATGCGATGATATCTTTGGGTTTGTTCTGCACTATGTTTCCTAGATCTATTGATCTAATTTTCTTCTGTATGATACCTTTTGAGTTTTTACGAGTTTGACGTGTGTTGCTTTCCAGATGTACTGGATGCTCGAGGGGTGTTTTGGAGTTTGGCTGGAAAGATACCCAATTACTTGTCCTTTTTCCTTCACAGAATCAAACTTTGAACTACATATTTCTCAAAGTGTAAAGTAACGTCTGCACCTCTCAGCAGAATGCAAATGAGGTTGTGGTGACGATGAGGGTGCAGGGCAAGTGCGACGCGACAGCCCCTCCATGTGCCCCACTCAAGCAGCTCGCAGTGCTCTCAATTACCTGTTCCTGAGCTGGCAGTCAACACTCAACAGCCACACCTCCCCCGCATAACCGCCGACACCACCTATACCTCTCCACTATGCCTCAGGAAAACTCAAAGGTGTCAGACCCGGACGCGACGTCGCAAGCGGCCGCCGAAGTTATCGCCGAATCGAGCAAGCAGCCAGAAGCGGAATCCGCAGACGAGAGCGGCGATGACGCGACCGAGACAGTAGAAGGCGCAGAGGGGGCGTCAGAAAAGAAGAAGAAGAGCAGGAAGCGCAAGATGAAGGATGCCATCAGCGGCAAGGGCAAGGCCGGCGACGTCACAGACTTGAATGCGCCCGCAGGAAACGTCCTACCAAAGGAAGCGCTGAACATGTTGCTCGCCAACAATCCTGGCCTAGCGAACGAGTTGCAGGGCAAGGCAAACAGCAAGGAGGAACTTGCGCAATTGATCAAGAAGCTCAACATCAACGAGATGCTGACAGGTCTGGCACCGCAAGGCAGCCAAAAGGACATGGCCAGTCACGCCTTCTGGAAGACGCAGCCCGTGCCCAGCTTCGAGGAGATGGCCAACAAGGAAAAGATCAAGGACGGACCTATCAAGGAGATCAAGATCGACGAGGTGGACAAGAACCCAAGTCCCATGTACCCCGGTTTTGAGTGGGTGACGATGGACCTGGAGGACGAAAAGCAGCTCGAGGAGGTCTATGAGCTGCTCACAAACCACTACGTTGAAGACAAGGATGCGACCTTCCGATTCAAATACTCGCCATCTTTCCTGAACTGGTAGGCAATCGCGTGCTGCCATGGACGACTTCCGCTAACGCAAGCAGGGCACTGAAAGCCCCAGGCTGGAAGAAGGAATGGCACGTCGGTGTCCGCGCAACCGCCTCAGGCAAGCTCGTCGCATTCATCTCCGGTATCCCAATACAGATGCGAGTACGCGACAAAGTTCTCAACTGCTCCGAAGTCAACTTCCTCTGCGTCCACAAGAAGCTCCGCTCTAAGCGATTAGCACCCGTCCTCATCAAGGAGATCACCCGCCGCTGTTACGTCGAGGGCACATTCCAAGCGGTATATACCGTTGGCTCTCTGCTACCTACTCCCGTCTCCACAGCTCGCTACTTCCACCGCGCCATCGACTGGGAGAAGCTATATGATGTCGGTTTCTCCCCTCTACCCCATGGTAGCACCAAGACACGTCAAATTGTACGATACAAGCTCCCAGATACCACAGCTACCCCTGGACTCCGCGAGATGGAGGCCAAGGATGTGGACGCAGCTGTTGATCTTCTTAAGCGATACCTAGCGCGCATGGATATGGCACAAGTCTTCAACAAGACCGAGTTCGAGCACTGGATGGCGCCAAAGGAGAAGCCCAAGGAACAGGTTGTATGGAGCTATGTTGTCGAGGATCCCGACACTCACAAGATCACCGACTACTTCTCTTTCTATAACCTGGAGAGTACGGTGATTGGTAACAAGAAGCACAACACCATCAAGGCAGCGTACCTGTTCTACTATGGCACAGAAGTAGCGTTTGAGAAAGAAGACAAGGACAAGACGAAGCTCAAGCAGCGACTGAACCTGTTGATGAAGGACGCGTTGATCTTGGCCAAGAAAGTAAGCACTCCACCCCCGTTGCTGTCCGACAAACCAAACCTCTACTAACATGCTGTGACCAGGCCGACTTTGACGTCTTCAACGCTCTCACACTCCTTGACAACCCGCTTTTCCTCGAGGAACAACGCTTCGGCGCCGGAGACGGCTCGCTGCACTACTACCTGTACAACTACCGCGCTGCGCCGATACCGGGTGGCATTGATGGCCGGAACCAGTCAAGCAAGGACCACATGGGTGGTATTGGTTTGGTCATGTTGTAATCGTGAGTTATTTCAGCGTGCATCTGCTACGGTGTTTGGATAGCGGTTTTGCTATGGGATGGATGTGTGTATCCGGGTATGTTGGTGTGAGCACACACCGTTGTGCAAGGCCTGCTGATATCTCTCTGAATGCATCAATTACTACCTACATTCCACCATGCTCATTCCCGATTACTAGTGGTTCCATCTACGTGATGTGAAGAATGCTATCGCTCATGCCTTGCGATCCTGTTGATAGGCAGGTACAATCCCTCATCTCAAGCAGCAACCATGTCATTCCACATCAGTTCCTCTCTAAGGTCCGCCCTCTCCTCGCCCACCACGACCTCTACCCCGCCCGCGTCCACCGCGGCCGCCTCGTCCGCCACGACCGTTGGTAAAGCCCCGACCACGAGTCACAGGCAGCGTATCCCCCATGGTCAGATTATCGTCCGGAGGAGCTGCACCTCGTCCACGACCGAAGTTGGTGGGGGTTGGGGGAGAGAAGGGAGCAAATGAAGTTGCCTGATCACCCTGCGCATCTCCATCCCCAGGCCCATGACCACGACCAAAGCCTCCATGGCCCAGCGTTGTATGACCTCGGCCTCGACCACTACCCACATTGATGTCGGCGCCAGATGAAAGCAGTGAAGGACCGAGGGGAAAACCTCCCCGCCCTCCGCGGGTGCTTGAATTGCCACCGTATTCGCCGCGCCCACGGGTAGTCGACCTGGTGTCATACCTAGGAGCACCGGAAGAGTCTCCCATGGAGGATCCACTCTGCGTGTTTGGCATCGCCACGCCTCCATCCCAGTTGTATAAGGGGTAGCCGAAAATGGAGTCCCCACCCGAGAATGATCCGCGACCCATGCCTTGAGTGTAGCCACCACGTCCTGCAGCTGCAGCGGCAACAAGCTGATGCTGATATGATTCTATCGAAATAGTCGCACCAAGTGGCGGGCTGAGTGATGATGGTGGAGCCAATGCAGGTGGTGTGGACCCTGGAGGCGGCGCTCCCGAGGCACTTAGCCCAACATCGAATTGTAGAGATCCGACCGTCGGCCACAACGATGACGAGGGATCTGGTCTCCTTGGAGTTGGTGGCGGTGGAGTCGGCTTTTCTACAGGTGGCACATATGTGACTTCGAATGTGGCCCCATACTGCTCCTTCAAAGCAGTATGTAGCTTGGGCAGCATAGTACCCATATCTTCTGAAGTGACAGTTCGACCTCGAGCAACAGCAAAGATCTCATCATAGTCATATAGTTCATCGTCGATAAGATCGGTTTCAGGGCGGGGCTTCTTCGTACCACTCATCTTGTTCTTGGTCCACTCTTCCACTGTCTTGAGGATGGCATTGCCATGTTCTCTAAAGTGATGATCGACTACGTCCTTCCATAGTGGCGGCGGTTTGTCGAGCCAAGCTAGAATCGCAGTACGTACAGTGTGCTCGCGAATCTTGTCGTTGTACATTGCCGAAGGACTATTGGGACTGCGAGTGTAGCCAGCCTCTCTTCCTGGCTCGTTGTACCACGGCTCTTCACACAGTATCATTGCCTGTATCGATATCAAGACTTGCAGTAACGTTGACTCGCTAGCACTCCAGGGCTCGCCAGACCATGTACCAAGAAGGGATAAGCAGACCTTGCCATCGGCGTAGAGATTTGGATTGATGGATATACGACCACCTGCTGTTCCTTTAAAGTTGACTAGTGGAGGGGTATGGGGGAAATCCGTGGTACAGAAGAAGTCGAACTCAAAAAGGCCGTTCTCATACGGTGTTCCAACAGGCCCAGTGATGACGCACTTGAGGATGTCTGGCCTGTTCTCACAATAGCGTACAAAGATACCTGGCGGAAGGCCTGTTTGCAGCGTTGTGATCTCCGTAACTAGTCGCTTGAACCTCCCCGGACGGGAAAAGTCAAGTTTCTTCGCCTGTTTGTAATAGTGATGAGTCTGTTTGATCAAGTTCTCCTCCACTTCTCCCATTGCAAGGTCCTCAAGGACTACTGCAGCCTCCTTGCCCTTTTCGCTACCAGCTTCTGTGGGGGTGTTATCCTTGATAAATTGTGAAAGGGCTGAAATGCTACTACAGATCCATATCATTTGCTGGCCTTCTTGATTCTTGAAGTCCTCCTCATTGTTCTTAGCGCTCAGGAGGATCATGGCACTCTGAGTAGTGAGATTACGTAGGCACTCTGCGAGAACGGAAACGCTTTCTCTCAAATCAGGTGCAGCAGCGCAGAACGATAATGTGAGAAGATCTACCATCTCGGGACGCACAAAGCGAGGGCCAAAAAGAGCCGCACTCGTTTCGCTGTGTGACCCCACGTTCATCAAGAAGGTGAACAGAGTCTGGTAGAGATTTCTGCGCTTCATAACGTCGGCCAATGAGTCGTTTCGGAGTAACTCTGCACAGTATTGGAGAATCTTGCTGTTGCGGAGCATTTCCAGAACAGCTTCAGGAGGATCGAAATCAAAGCAGGTTTCTCGCTCGAGACTCGGAAGCAGATCTGTCAAGAAGCCCAGAACCATTTCACAGAAGACGTCTTCACATATCTGTGCCTTCCGGGCTCTTGAAATCTTGGTTTCCTTCTTGGGCTTTGGAGATACCGGTTCCTTCGAGTTCACGACGTGTCCTAAGTTGTGCTCGGAGCCCTTAGCTTCGCTTGTCACACACTCCGGACCATCAAAGTTGCCGCTATCGTCGCCTTCGTCGAGTTCATCGGTGTCGTAATCATAGTCAGTTTCTTCGTGCATGTCGTAACCATGTCCTCCATACCCCATACCACGAGGCATGTGGCCCGCCGGAGTTCCATGACCACCCCTTAGGCCTACAGCACCACCGCGGGCGGGCTTATTAGCCGTCTTACGCGCCTTTGACTCAAGCTTGGATTGCTTCGAAATCTTTCCGACATCCCTAGATTCCCAGATGTGCCGGTCGAATCCACAAAGGAGTGCCCATATAAGAAATAACCGACCGCCAACGCAGCACCACGAGACGCATTGTTTGCTAGATTGAGACAAGATCTTAGAAGGTCTTGCGAAAGGTTCTGGCTCGCATGCGATGCATGAGCGCGTGTTGCAGCTACTGCATCGAACATTGCAGGACAGTTCATCTACCGCGCCATCCGCCCAATCCTGGAACAAACGACGGATGTCGAGTTCCGAGGTAAAGAATGGTTCCTGGCAGATGCGACATTTCGTCGTCTTAAGATGAGCCGTGAGGTCCTCAAAGGTATTAAGGGTGACGTAGTTTGTTGGCGTTTCTTCCTGGTAGTGTGCGACTCTTCCATCGTCCTTGACAGGTCTCCAGTTTGACCCGCTGGCAGTTGCAGCCGAGTTATCGTGGGTAGGCTCAGAGGCAGAAAACTGCCCCTTTGCTTGTCCTTTCTCAGGGCCGTCCATCGATTCCCCTCGTGTTTCCATACTTGACTCACTTCTTGCACTGGCAATGAGATGCTATCTCAAGGCTCCGTAGAGTTAGATCGATATTGTAGGCCTTTGAGATATGTTATTGCATTAGTGCTGATCGTTGAACGTGAATACGACCCAGCGAGGTGGTTGAGTGCTGGCAATAAGTGCGACCAGGAGATGTGGTGTAAGCGTGTATACCTAGTTTCAGTGTGGTGTACGAGAGACTAAATCAGGTGAGGCTGAGGCGCAGTCACCTTAAGCACGTGTTGCAGCCGGTGAACGCTGATAGCCCTTATGCGTAGTGAATGGCGAAGTGACGGAGAAATAGACTGGCGATTTCCAAGCTGTGCTCAAAGAAGGTTCACAGGAAATGAGAATGACGGGTAATGCCTAACCACGGATATGCACAGGGTAGCACCTACCCAATAGAACCTCAAGGCAACACAAGGCGACAGCGCGGCTGAGACCGATTGAGGTGACCATGTGACGAGTCGCTACCAAACTTCATATTTTGAAAAAGAAAATAACTGTGGACACAGATCTGATTGGAAAATGCTGACTATAGAACATTGTATGCAATGGGGATAGGTCCATGTGCATGTGAGGTAGAAAGGTGCCACTCGAAGCATGGCGCCCAGCCATAAGTCTTTCGGTGTTATCGGAGATAGCCCGCATTCCGTCATCGTTCATCGAACCACTCGCATCGCGACGCGACTACTCCCTCATCCATGTCTCACCGGACTGAAGCCGCTGAGTTACCGCGATAATGGGTCAAGGAGCATCGCACGATACTCCGCAATTGACACTAGGTACGTGTGCGCAATCTACAATCTCTCGATCCTTGATTGCCGCTTCCAAGCTGCCGCCTAAGCATCTTGACTAACCGATTTCCAGAGCAGCTCTCACAAACCATAGCCCAACGATTCGCACAGAAAAGCTTCTCCCCTCTCGAGCTCTACTGCTTCAACTCCGTGTTCCGATCCCTCGCTGATACTGAATCCGGTGTGAAATACTGGAGTGAGAGCACACTATGTCGGTTCCTCGAGCTACCAGATGCGCTGAGCGTGGGCTCTGTCGTCTTTCAGATGGCTAGTTATCTTGGAGCATTCCCACTCCCTAGTCAAGCGCCAGCTATACTTACGCACGAGGCGCTGCTCAAGGTTGTCACTATACTTACAGAGAGATATGGAGCTGTGCTCAAGAGGAGAGGGAAGGAGATCTGGCTAAGAGAGCTCTACCGGAGTTTGGCCATATACGACAAGGGTATACGCTCAAGTCTGGAAGAAAAGGAAAAAGAAGAGATGGACCATCAGCCGAAGCAACGGAAAGAGGGGAGCAGTAATCTGGGGTTTGCCATCGATGCGCCTGAAGAGGGAGAAGCAGGGGAGGACGAGGATGACGATGAGTTGGTGCTGGCTGCGTTGGACTCTATGGATGCCATCGATGCGTTCAAACATGGAGAACAAACGAACGTACATCATTCAATCATACCGACCGACAATTTCCTCAAGCTGGTCGAACTGCTACTGCTCATCGCGCCGATCGATGCGCAGCAAAGCGTCTCATCACTGGCACCAGACCTTTCTGACAAAAGAGTAGCGGAGCTGCGGCAGGCCGCGAATGTCATACTGTCGTCTTTTGGCGTGGACAATCATCCCGGTGTCACGTATCGCACATTCAATACTGTCGTCTCGACGTCCTTACCATACCTGTTCAATGGTCTCAACCCACTCTTCGAGCATTTCCTCTTCGCGAAAGACTTTGACCTCTCCAAACGGAAGTCAGACCCTGGATCTCCCTCCCAAGAGAGCAAGCCTGTAATACCTCCACCAAAGGCAGAATTAGAACCAGTGCTCCGAGAACCGGGTGAGATCTTGAATCTGACGACACTGAGCCAATTGTCATTCTTTATCAAAGGCAGCGATCTCTTCCGGCGATTGCGGCCTCTATACAGCGGTAACACACATGGCTTCAGCATGGGATCCTTTGAAAAGCAAGTTTTCAATTGGCGTGCGCCCACCATCCTTCTCGTAAAAGGCCGTCTTCTCCCTGCAGCACCCTCCAGCACTCGCGAACGGGCACTGCAGGACATGCTACCACCAAAACGCCTACCGGACAGCGTAACCTCCACATCTCCTAATCAAACCCTCATCTACGGCGCCTACATCTCTTCGCAATGGAAACACACTGGCAAGACCTGTTTTGGCGACTCAGCGTTTCCAACGGGACGTAATACTGTACGGTTGAAGCTATCGTGAGGTACGTACGGATCGATTTCTGGTGTTGTACGTACTGTAGGTCCAAAAAAAGCTCTAAGTACGGGCCGTAACCGTAGTACGTTC